GTTGATATTGATCCAAGCAAAGGATTTATAAATAGCGATCATTGTTGTCTGTCTTTGCTCTTTATTTAGAACCATTTCAATTATTGATCAAGGTCTTGATCCACAAAGTCTATGTCCTGCTGCTCTGGTAAACAGCCTTTGTTGGGAGTTTGGCATCAGTCAAAGTGCTGACAGCTGCTGTACAAATTGTTAGTGTCTCGTGATTTCTTTTCTGCACAAACACACACAAGCCCCACTGCTGTCAACAGGATACAACTGTATGTGTGTGCTTTGCTGTAGCCTGCTAATGGTCTGTGTTTGAATCATTGATGAGTTCATCGATTTGTTTTTCTTTTTTTAGTGAATATTGACTTTCACAGCTGAAGCATAAAGAACTGACATCCTGTAATTACACACTGAAACAGTGAAAAGCAAAACGGAAGATGAACACATCAAACCTTCTAATCACACTATGGGAAATGCACTTTGTTATATATGTGTATTTATTTTATGGCACACGGTCGTCCAATTATAAATATGGGATATGATTGCATGTGGGTCTTCCTTTATTACATGATAGACAGACGGTTTAAAATATCTGTGTGTGTGTGTGTGTGTGTGTGTGTGTGTGTGTGTGTGTGTGTGTGTGTGTGTGTGTGTGTGTGTGTGTGTGTGCGCAAAGTAAACCACAAATCAGACAGCAAAATCACACAGAATAGACTACCCACACTGTGTGGAATTTAATCTCTCTGCTTTGTCTTTGTCTCCACCTACTGGTTTCTGTGTGTAAGTGCAAGCTCGGATTTCCTGTCTGAAGAAAAGCTCGCTGATACAGGTATGTACAGTAGGAAATACTCCTCACTTGTGTCCCATCACTTCACAACACGTTTGCGGTTGTTTTTAGGTCTCGTTTAACTTAAAGGAGAAAGTGTTCATTTTTTGGCAATCAGTTCTGCACACAGTAACCTCAATGTCAAGAATCTACCTGTATGAACTTCCCTTGGCTGTTGGACAGGGGCATTTTCAGGGTTTTTGAAATGAAAAGTGGACAAGTGGAGACAAAACAAGAAGTGGCAGACCTAAAAAGGACAAACAGTGTGAAAGTCATGTTGTTAATAAACAGGAAATTATTCAGCAAAAACCTGACCCGGGACCTGATCCTTATGTTGGTCTCAGTGGAAGGCTGGCTGTCACAAGGCCATTCTTTAAGAAGGGAAAAGTCTGAGGTATGCTAAATTACACAAACCTGACTAATATCATACAAAGTAACAGGTTATATGTTATTACTGATTTGTAAATATTATCATCTGGTTGTTACACTGTTTTATTGTTAACAATAACTCTAAAGCATGTAAATGATGGTCTTTAAAGTGGAGTGGTTTGTGTCCACATGAGGAGTTCCAGAGAGAGAGAGAGAGAGCTGAGAGGCTATAGCTGGGACACCAAGACAATTCTAAGAAAGGGGAGAAGAGAAACTGGTAAGTACAAAGAGTAATTTAGCATGACACTACAAGTCTGTATGCTAGCTGTTGATGAGGTAACGCAGAGCAGATATGCCAGTTATGTCAGCTCATGCTCCAGCAGTGCAGCTTGGAGGCTGTGTCTCACAGGAACAGTAAGCCTGTCACTCACACACATCAGCACACAACAGGGTGATGGGGGAGAGTGAGAAAAGGGATGGTAAATCACACTGGTGGGATCACAAAAAAAATCTTATTATTAAGTTGTTTTTTCTCTTGAATCTTTGATTGATTGGTGCCTAAGATACATTTCCCAAAACAATTCATATATGCAGCAAAATACTACAGATAATTGGATACTACGGATACCTTTAACAGTGTCTAAACCAGAGTGGTCAAAATGTTCGGTACCGTCAGAATCACAAAGTGAATATTTCTCCATGGGAGACGTAACCTCTGCTTTTGTCAAATGCTGATTTCAGGGTTTTGCATTCTACTACTGGCATGAATTATCTGCAGAGGACCCAAGGGCAGAACAAAAAAAACAGATTCAAACAAAAAAAATGACCATTTATTTGGGTAAACAAAGTAGTACACTTTACAAAAAAGCAAAAAAATCAAAAATGAAAATCTTCCCATCACTGAACAGAACAAAGCATATGGACCATCTGTACTACAACTATGGAAATAAAGCATAGGCTGTGTACAATAATACACCGCTCACAAAAATGAAAGGAACACTTTTTAATCAGAGTATAGCATCAAGTCAGTTAAACTCCTGGGATCTTGGTTAGTTAGGTAGCAGATGGGGTTGTTAGTCAGTTTCAGCTTATTTGGTGAAATTAACAACAGGGTCAGTAGAGGAGCTAGGCTAGAGAATCTTTTCCCCTCGTAGTCTTTTATCTGACTGTTTTTCACTTGTTTTGCATTTGGCCAGGTTCTGTGTCACTACTGGTAACATGAAGCCATACCTGGACCCTACAGAGGTTGCACTGGCAATCCAATTCCAGATGGCTTGGTGTGTCTCCTAGTCCGGTGTCAATGCATGGAGGAGATTCCAGGAGACAGAAAGTTACCCCAGATGCTACCCAGTTACTAATCAGCAGGACCAGTATCTGCTCCTTTGTGGAACTGCCAGCGCTGCAAAATGACCTCCAGCAGGCCACTGGCATGAATGTCTTTCTCTAAACAATTAGAGACAGGTTTCATGGTGGTGGCCTGAGGGTCTGATATCCTGTAGTGGGACCCGTGTTCACTGCCTGGCACCATGGAGCTCAGTTGTCATTTGCCATAGAATAGCAGAGCTGACTGGCGCCTGGTGCTCTGTGCTTTTTGCAGATGAGAACACATTCCAACCATGAATACATGTGACCGATATAAAAGAGTCTGCAGAACTTGTGGAAAACATTTTGCTGCTGTTACATTCAGCTTGACAAGTTTGGTGGTGAAGGGATGTGCAGACCTTTTCCGGCTAGGCAATGGCACCCTGACTGTCATGAGGTGAAGGGTTTAAAATCCTTGGACCCACTGTCAGACCTGGTGCAGTGGGTCTTGGGTTCCTTCTGGTGCACGGCATTGCCCAGAGTATGCAGGCAGTTCTTGAAGGATCTGGAACTGATCTAGGAACTGATACTACTTACTGGTTCCCAAGCTTGTCTGAACTAAATCCATTAGAACACCTCTGGGATATTATGTCTCGGTCCATCTGATGCTGCCAGGTTGCCCCTCAGATTGTCCAGATCTGGAAGGAGTTCCCCAAGTACACCATACACCACAAACTAAACACACTCTCACTCACTGAAGCACAATTTGCACAATAATTAGATGCAGAACATTGACCACAGATGCCAAAAGTTGAAGCGATAGAAGCCAGAACCCACAAAAACAGAGAGAGACTTAAATTCAACACTAATATGTAGAAACAATATGTGAGACATGTCTGCTTTATATTTTGGTAATCATTGTAATATTGTGAAACAACCACTTGAGATTAAAGGTCCAAGTTCCAGTTCCTGCACCAGTTGTTTTCAATTTTTTTGATGTGGTGTGCTCTGAATGCCCAGTATTTTCTTCATTTGATTGCATGCATGATCAGATAAAACGATGTGGTTTGAAGCACATCAAAACACAGCTGTTTTGATGTGTTTGTGAGATTTTGCAAGAGTGTTTTTGTAAATGTAGGGTGGAAACTTTCAAGAGAAGCAATGGGCTGTGACCTGCCCAGCCTGTCCAGTCCTAAATGGATGGATTCAAAAAACGTTTCTTAGCAATTGCTGAAAATTGTAAATGACTGTTTTCAAACTCAATTTAGCTGGGGCATGGTGCATATTCTGCAGTATGCCTTTGCAGACACCAGGTGGCAAACAAGACAACACAATGAGTTTTTAGGGCTTCTTGCATGGTTCTGGGTTTTCAGTAAGTAGTCTCTGAAATGCTCATACATTGGACGTGGTGTAAATTGTCTGTAAGTGTGTGTCTGAATTTGTACACCCTATAAAAAGCACAAAAGAATTGTTTATGTTATAACCGTACTACTTTTTCTTACTTAGTCGGCTAAGAAAAGTTCGTAATAATTTTATTTTTTGATTTTAAGTGACACCCTCTAAGGCAGAGGTGTCAAACATAAGGTCTGGGAGTCCAAAGTTGGCCCGCAAAGACTCTAGTCTAGCCCACTGGATGGCTTTTCCAAAAATGTGATAAAGTGCATAAAATTTCAGACTTATTGCTGTATTTCCACAAGTTTTACAGCTGGTTCTACTGATAAAGATTACCATCACTACCATTGCCATTCATGTTGTCTGTACCTCAGACAACTGAACGTAGCACTATAAGCTTTATTTATTTCCTTGTTTTTAGCATTTTGCCTAATCGTACAGCCCATCCAAGAAGCAGATGTGGATTGTCAGGTGATCATACAGGTATATACTTAGAAACAAAGGGTGCAAAACCAAGAGTGCTAACTCCTTATTGTTCCATCTAATATCTCATCTCATTCAAATGTGGCTTCCAAAAAAACTGACAAAGAAAAAAACGAAGAAAAAAAAACGATCTATATACAATATATAGAAGTGTGAACCTAACATACTGAATCATTACCTGATGTGTCGGAATTTTATGTTTTCCTTTACATAACGATATTTCCATTACGAATAAATGCAGAAAAGTCACATATTTGTTAAGAAAACTTTACAAGAATTCAGGAAGTAAGTTAAAAGTTTCCCAGGGAAGTCCTCCAGATCCCCTCACTTAATGTGTCCTCCTCGAAAACCTCAAATTAAACCTACAAACTATTTAAGAAAACATGTTTCTCACTTTGTTTGTTTTTTTAAATGACACCACATGTCTTTTCAGTGTTGTGAAACAGATAGAGTTACATCCGGATTAAAAATGCTCTATTTGTCTTTTCTTTAATACGAGCCAGATGTTACCTCCAGCCCCGGCCTGCTGTCACTCACCCCGCCTTTGACCAATCACAGTGGGCATAAACTCCTCCTTCCCTCCCCGTGGAGTTTGCGGGGGCTCGGTGGAGAGGAGGAGTGAGTAAAGATCTCTTTCTGAGTCCAGCTGTGCTTCTCTCCTGCTGCTCCCTCTCATAGCGCAGCGCTGCTCGATCACTCAGGCTGTGCAATGGAGAGATGGGCGATGCTGGCCGCGTGCGTGTTGCTGTGCTGCAGCTGCACTATGGTTACTGCCATCCAGAGGGCTGACATGTTTCCTTACGGCACTTTAAATGGAGATTCGGTGTTGAGAGAGGGCGACGATGAGACGTCCAAAGTGCTGTCCCTTCCCAGACCCTTGTACTTCTTCAACTCCCCTTTCTCCCAGCTATATGTAAGTACGACTTCATTACTATTCATTTGCACTCAGTCGAGGTTGTCTATTTTGTGAGCACCTAAAAAGATTCGCTGAAGTTCCCGCTTCACGTGTCTCAGGTGATATTTGCAGCTGTTGAATAATCTGCGCAGGAGAGTTGTGCTGCTGTTTCCCCTCTGCTAAATGGAGCGATTCATTCACGGCTGAATAAAAAAAAGAGATGGACAGCAGAGGAGATTGGGTTTATTATCATCTGTACTCTTTTTTTCATGAAGGACCAATGTTTGAATAGGATTTCAACAAACTGCGCTCCTAATATTTAAATCCAAATCTCTCAGCAACTTCACTTTTATATTCAGCAGATGTCAACAGATGCAAATAAATTAACTCTTTTTCTTTTACCATAACTGCTGTAGGAGCATCCGGTATAAGTAGAAGTGTTGCTCAGTCAAATGTACTTAATGCTTTAAAAGTAAAAGTAATTATTGCCCAGAGTGCCTCCTGTCAGAGCCTGCAAAGTAGCCATGCTGCAAAGTAGGAGTGAACCAATGGGTTCAAAGGAAAAAAGCCACTTAAAGCTTCTACTTAACTATTTTCTAACTGACTATTATTTGATAGCTTGCAGATCTGGGAAAATAACTCAAAATATAACCAAGAAATAAATGATGTTGTATTGTTCTTGTTTGAGATCAACAACGTTTCTTAGATCCAAAGAAAGTGGTAAACTGTTATTATCCTCACTTAAAACTTGAACTAAGTCTCAGCAATGCACTTCTACAACACCATGGGCTGGTATGTGATAAATAGAGATTATGTTGAACTGTGACTCATGCAAGCTATCCAAGGAGAACCAAAGATTTCAGGATAGATAGATAGATAGATAGATAGATAGATAGATAGATAGATAGATAGATAGATAGATAGATAGATAGATAGATAGATAGATAGATAGGTTTAAGTGGTAGCAACATTGCACTGATTAATACTGTCACATGTGAGAATGCTCATTATGCAACATGGCCACTTTAATAATCAGGAATACCAATATTAATGCTTTGATGTGTACATCACTTTAACACACAGCTGGGTGGGGCTTCTGTGCTCACAGTCAAAGGTTTGGGCTCTCAATGACCATATTAGGGATAGTCCCTCTGACTGATGTCATACAGAGCCAAGAGTAGAAAAAACTGATCTTTTGACTCACGGGGATCTATCTACAGCCTTGTAAAAATCTCCTTCTAAAATGTTGTGAAGTAGCATCAAATGGAAATATTGAATTGCTTGAGTACAGCTGTGGCTGCATGTGGTCAGAACTTTTCTAAATCTTGATCAGAAAAATTTGGGAGGGCACCCCGAGGTTGTTCCAGTGGTTTTTGAGGAAAATAGGGGTTCATTATGTGGTTCCTGGAGTCCATGAAGGGGTTCTAGTGGTTTACAAGGGCGAATGGGTTCATTAGGAGGTTTGTTGGGTTCGTGATAGTATTCCAAATATTCCAAACTAAAGCTTTCCCTCCCTTTAGGTGGCCACCAATGGCATCATATCAGCCCAGGACTTGCCAATGGAGAAGCAATATGTTGATGACGGATTCCCCACAGACTTCCCTGTGGTGGCTCCATTCCTGGCTGACATTGACACAAGCGGAGGGCGAGGACAGATTTACTACAGGGTGACTGAAATACCCAGTGTGCTCAACAGAGTCGCACAGGTGTGTAATGATTACAGTTTTAGTGTTGAAAACTCATAAGATGCTATAAAACACTAGAGAAAAAAATACCTGTTGAACTTTAATTAACTACAGATTTGGTTTGTCTCAATCCATCAGCTCAGTGTTTGTCTTTCATTCCCTTATTTCATGTGTCGTCCTTTCCCTTCCTCCCTCATTCGTTCATTCATCTCCTCGCCTAGGAAGTACACCGGGGGTTCCCAGATGCAAATTTCACACCCACACACGCTGTAGTGGCAACGTGGGAAAATGTCCCGGCATACGAAGAACAAACTCGACCCCCTAGCCCTCCAAACAAGGTAAGATGTTTTAAAGGAAGAGACACCAGTAGCTCCAGGGCCTCCCTGTATGGAGGAGTTCTGTTTTATCATCATGTAAACAGCCCACATACCCCACACTAGTATGTTTTGGTTCTTGTGTGACACTTAATCCCAAATTCCTGGCTGTTGTGCATGACTTGTAATCACCCTAAGGTTGGGGAGATTATTTGTAATCCCTCTTCCCCAAATTTGCCTCTTAACCTTTTTAAAGGGTCAAAGATCATCTTTAAGAGTCATCAAAGTGTCTCCCGCCCTCTTTATCCTCTCCAGTTCACACACCAGTAGACACAAACATGTATTGACCATTGTTGCCCTCCGCCACTAATGGTTTTCTTCGTGTTTCACTCTTTAAATCCTTTTTTGTCTTTCCGTTTTGTGTAATCTAGGATAATTGTGCCATTTTTTAAATGCTGTATTTGCCATTTAAAGTATTGGTCGCTGATAGTTCCTGTTTGCTGTGTAACCACGACCGTAATGACAGCTATCACTAAAGCATGATGATTCTCAGGAATGGTCAATATCAAATCAGTGGAGTCTAAGAATTCCTGCCTCTCGTGTGGGTGCAGAAGCAGTGCAGTCATAATGCAGCTCAGCAGTGACCCTTGCATGAGACCTTTCCTGCCACCTACATGCTCATGTCTTTTAAAGTGTAACAAAGTGTAGTGACACTAGCAGGGTTTAAATTATGGGGTATCCGTCAGACATTTGTATCGGTTTTCTTTCATATTAATGTCAATATTAATACTTTCTAAAATCTTGTCCAAGCAAATGATTCAGAACTTAAAGAGCTGTATTAAGAAGAGTTAACAGGAGAAGCATTGGTTGCTTTGTTACAGTCCAACTTTGGGAGAGACTCCAAGTAAAGCCAGACCTACTATTGATCAAACAAACAGCTCCTTGATGTTCTTGGTGTGCAGAATTTGGGGTGAAGAGGAATAAAGGGAGTGGTAGGTTTAAGGAAAAACACCAGGGGATCTTTCTTTCTGTCAGCCCTCCTCGTCTCTGTTTGTTCTTTTTGTTGCTCTCACGGTCTGCTTTCTTTTAGGCTTGTTTCTTCCTCCTTGAATGTTTAAAAAATTATCATAGAGTAGTCTAATGGCTACTGCAACATTAACCCTCTTAACTGCTTTCTCTGGAACTGATCGGGATTTACAAGCCCCCAAGTGGACAAGGGCTTTTTCTCCGAGCCCCAAACTTGGAATTTTGTCTTAGCTCAGTTCTTGACAACATGCTAATTAGAGGATGGAGCGTACCTCCTAAAGTACAAGAAGTGACGTGTTTTGCTATTTAAGCGCTCCGTGCTGCTCATCAGATTGGAGCGCTCTCTTAGTTGCTTGAGTGGGTCTCTCTTTAGACTGATAGCATCTTCCTTTGAAGTGATTAGCCAGAGGTGCTGGGTGGTGTGTGTTTAGGGTTACCAACTCCCTGAAAAATAAATAAGGGACACCTCGTGGCCAGGGCCGGGCGACCCAGTTGTCTTCACCCTTCCCAGTGTGGTGAATTTTCTAGCTCTTTTTTTGTGTGTGAAATTATTTTTTTAACCCTTTGACTTGAATTTGATTTAAGTAGATGTGTATTCTTTGTGATATGAACACATGTGAAACAAATGATCATTTAGCCATTTATTTTCAGCTCAAAATGACAACATTAACACAGTAAAACAGGTCTCCTTCTTAAACAGAAGCCTGTCATGCTTAACTTTTGAGAATATAAGTAAATCTTTCTTTAAAAGAACTCTGTCCTGCTTAACTTAAAATAATAGAAAACAATAGAAAGAAAAACATTCTTGTAACAGTGCACATTTAGTGCATTTAGTACAATCGGCTTCAGTTGAAATATTATTTCAGCTTTTCTAATGCTAATCAGCTGCTCCTGCTTGTAAACCCACTTGTTGCCATGATTACGCATCTTAACTCATCATCATTATTCATCTATGTATTACTTTTATGTATTAGTCATCAATTTGTTGTAATCATCTATCCTTGCAGTTGTTTATTACACAAAATAAATTATATTATCACACTTCTGGCCACATAGCGCTGATATTCACTGCACATGCCCATATTAACTTTTTCCAGCCAGGTGTTTTCCTTTTCCCATTCTTCCCTTTCTCTGAGGGGAACAAACATTGCTGCTCTAATGCTGGGCTCACACTGTGCGGTTTTAGGCCCATTTTGAGCCGATTTTTGACCGATTTTTGCCTTCATCGTGCATCGTGTAGTATACGTGGGGTAACGAGAAGTGATTAACACCTCACGACCAGCTCCCGATCATCAATCGCTCGTGAGAGTGTCATCACAGCCCCTCACACTGCTCGCGCGCAAACACGTAAACGTCGGTGAAAAAGATGGAGCAGCATGGCTGTGCGGCGTGTGATCTGGACACAAGCGATGGAGGCACAACTTGTAGAACTTTGGAAAGCTCATCCGAGCCTTTTCGATGTGGCATCACAAAATTATCACGACCACAACAACCGTGAAAACAGTTGGATTTACATCGCTGCTCAATCACAGCTGCCTGATCAATGTTTTTCATTAGCAATTTATCAAAGTTGATGGTGGTGGTGTGTGTGTCTGTGTGAGTGTAAGACGGAGAGAGAGAGAGCGCGACAGATTTTCTGTTATAACCTTCATGTTATGGAGGCACAGTGTGAGCACCCAGGTCGCATCAGAGCATCGGGCGGTATAGTGTGAGACTCTGCATCGTGACCTACCAACTTCTAACCCCTGCGAGTCAATCGTGCAGTTTGAGCAGGAGCTGAATAACGTGACTGAAAAAATCGCACAGTGTCTGCCCAGCTTTAGGTGTACTGTCGTCCGAGACTTGCACCACCGTGACGGCGTTTGTTTCCCTGTTGGCCATGCTTCTTGTTGTGGTCATCTGTTGTCTTCCGGTATTTTCTCCGTAAGCGACCTTTCCTCGACCAATGAGATGAGCGGTAATCTGAATTGTCATACTCGAATTGTCATAAGTGTGCTGTCAGCTCATTGGTCACAAAGCAGGAGAGGGGCTGGGAATTATGTTTTCAAACAAAGCGTTAATTCCATTAACATTTATAGACTACTTTTGATTCTCACTGTATTACGGGACAAAGTGCGTCCCTTATTAGCTCAATACGGGACGTGTACTTTTGTTTCTAAATACGGGACGATTCCGTATTTTAAGGGATGGTTGGCAACCCTATGTGTGTTGAGGGCAGATTGGTTTGTGTGTGACCTGAAGTGTGTGATTGTTGGGGTGGGTACTGGGGGGTGTTGGGATGCTGTTTCAGGGGGAGGGGGCAGAATGTGTGGCGTCTGGAGATGAAATAACAGGAAAACAGAAGACAGAGAATTAAAGCGAAAGAGTGAAGGCTCACACTTCTAATAAGCTGAGCTGTGTTTTCGATGAAATTAGCCTTAGAGATGCTATTATCAAAATTGGACAGAAATTGCTTGACTTAAAATACACACCCATACATCAACTAGCAGGGTGCTCTGTTAGCTAATTACCGCAGTCATTTCGCTAAAGACTGCTTTCAGTGTTTAGATCTTTTAAGAAGTGTTGACTTTACTTTGAGCGATTATCAGTAACACTAAGCAGCCCGAAGTTGGAAAAATATCTCATCCAAAGAAGCACTAGAGTTATCTTGATGTTAAAAGAGCAGGTTGACATTTCACACATACTCACTGTCTTGTCACGAATTAGATAAAAAAGATGACTATCTTAGCTTAACGCAGAGGCCAGATGAAAGGTAAACAGCTAGCCAGGCTCTGCAAGTTACAACAGCTACAGATTCACAAGCTAACTAATTGCATGTTATAACTTGCTTGTTCATCAAAGCAAAACTTGATAACTTCAGTTCCTTGTGTCCTACTGTCATGTTTCATAGCATAAAGGCAAACAATCAGAAACGCCTGTGTGTCCCTTGAAGTGAGCATTCTCTCTGAGGTGATAAGTGGAGGCAAACCGCAGGTTTATCAGTTCATCTGTCAGATGTCTCTATTTATATTTAATATTAATATATTGTAGGGGTGGGGAAAATGTTGTAATACCGTATAGTATTGCAGTACTTTGCTTGGGGGTATTATATCAATATAGGATCACCAAATATCAATATTTTATCAAATACATTTAAAAAACTCTGGGAATACTACAAGCAAAGTGGCTCATCTCATGCACCACCATCCTGAGATAACGTTAGCCAAGCAAACTTACATTAAATCATCTATATTAAAAAAAAACAAAAAAACAACAACAAACATTCGACACTGGACACACTCTAATTCAGAGCAAGCTAAGTGCCCGGTCATGCGATTGAAAATAGGACAACAGTGTTTGGACAGACTGCAATTACTCTCAGAGAGAGTCAAAGTTTTGCACATAACTTCTGTCTAATGTATAAATGCAGCAAAAATTTTCTGGCACAACTTCACCTGCTTCCAAGGTGCATGGAGAGGATCAATGAGTTTTTATGAACTACACCTCCTTTTTTTTTTATCAGTTAAATTACTCTCACATGAGTAATGTTTATTCAATTAATCTTATTATTTTAGCCAAAGAAGAAGTAACGTTTTAGACATCTCATCTTAAGTCTACAATTTAAGTCTAAATTTTAGAGATTTTACATTTTTGAGACATAATTTTTTTTTTAAACCTGTGTGTATATAGCATCCACCTTTTGCATTTCATGCATGTGTTATTTTCAGACATATGGGGGTTATGTCACCCCCCCCTCCTCCTCATCAGTAATGATCTAGTCCGGTATTTACTTTTTTCTGTTTCCTGTCTTGTATTTAAGCAATTTTTTACAATGTTTTACTATGACCCTGATGAAGGCCACAAGCCGAAAGGCGTTGGTCAATTATTAAAGTTGTTCATCTTCCCTCAAGTGTTGCTGGAGTTCCTGCTTAATGTATAAATGCAGACAGATTACCAACATGTTGTCATCACGCTTAGGTCTTTGTCACTCGACTCAAGTCGATTGTGGTGATGGACAT